GACCAATCTGCTCCGCGGGCTTGATCACAGCACAAAGTCGAGGAATGGGGGAACTCCCTGTTCTTTGCCCCCAGCCTGGAGATCTGCAGATTCCTTCTTGAAGACAGGCCCCAGCACACCCTGTATGTAACACTAGAATGAGTTTCTCTCCTGCTCAAATTGAATGGGCCACGTGTAAGAATTTTCTCCAAACTCTTCACCCAGCCAAAGCATAAATAAAGTGGGAATTGGTGATTTCTCTCCTGGGAGCGTATGGTTTGTCTCTGAATGGGCTTCAGTGACCTATCTGCAATTTTTGTCTTCCGTCTTGATGAAAGGCAGTTTAGCCTGTGCAGACTGTTCAGCTGTCTGTTAAACAATAAATTTGGACTTCATAAAACTGGTGGCAGTGATAAAATACTGTATCGGAGCTGACTGGAGTCCGAAGCAATGGGGGCAGACTGCATCTGCTAAAGACTAAGACCTCAGATATCATCACCTACAGTCCTAATGTCAATCCCCAGGGAGACTGTCATTGCCACACGCCGGCTGAGGAATCTCAGGCTCAGAGGCATAGGCTAAAGACTTCTAGCTTTTCTAAATGGCCATTTTCCATTAAAAGTACTTTTAGTTATCAGTTAACTTGATAAATGTCATGTAAGTGATGCTGGCCAGACATGTCCTTTAATTCCATCAGTGGGATGCCATCTGATATGTCCAAAGGTAACCTAAATAAGATAAGGATATTCTGAGTGTTATTCTGGTCCTTGTGTCCTGCCTCTCTCAGGTACAGGCACCATAAACCAACAGGACCACAGAGGCTGACGACAGACTGTACACCCAGTTTAGAGGCAGCTGTGGGGCTAAAGGCTCTTTGTTCAAGGGCAAAACTATTCTGAGTTCCCAGGATCCCATGTGTCTTGACTTAGTGACAGCCAACAAGTGGAGACCATTTTATTTGCAGAAAGCTTTTTTCATATCTATGATCTCAGTAAACATGAAGAAGTGAAGCTGTCTAGTTCCCTGCTTGGGGCAGTCATGAAGTAAGATGCCTTTCCTACTGAAACAGTAAGGCTGACTTGCTTAGAAAGTACCAGGAGAGCGCAAGAGGGATACCCACACTAGGCCGTGGGCTTTCTCTTCTACAGCTGCACAGAGGTAGGCTCTGAGGAACACAGAGCGGGGCTCTGCTGCCATCTTCTTTGCAAGCTATATCGTCTCCATTTGGTTTATGAGGATGCTTTGAAGGGCATCCTCGGACGCTCTTCTTTCTAATATGGGCCGTGGCTTTTTACAAAGCCAGTAAAGTCCTCACCAAGGTCCAAGCCTAGGCAGGCCAAGGAGAGAGAAGAGATGTGGTTTCAGACCTTCTCTTGCACTTTCAGAGTTGAGGAAAACTTCAAAAGTGACATGATTGTTTTATATGAGCCGTTAGTGAGGAGAAACACTTCAGCAATAAAATCAAAATGAATTTCGTAGAGAACTTGCAGCTACTCTGGTGTTTTTCCCTCATGCCCCTTGAAGGCAAGGTGGCCCTGCCCGGGAGAAGAGGGTGTGAGCTGTACTGGGCTGTGGAGGCACACAAGACCTGCTGCTTTGGGAGATGGATGAGTGATGTGGGAGGCTCCAAAGCCTCAATTCCATTTCCCCCCAAAATTAATCTGAGTTACTAACGTGGCACTCTGGTAACTCCCACCGGTGTATGGTATGGTACTTTGCTCGGAGTCCTAAAATTTTCCCTAATTGCAGAACCACAATACTGCCATAGGGTTATTAGTTTATGAATCCCCCACAAGTTCAACCCATTTAAAATAGAGCAATGTAGAAAACAGTTGCTAAATTTCAGGTATAAACTGAGCCTTGCTTTCTTCCTCAGGCACAGAACAAAGTGGCCCAAGAGGCCTAGACGGCGCCATTCACAATGTTCACACACAGGCATTAAACTGAACATGCAAGCGTTTTCCTGTCAGACAGAACTTTCCTGGTCACCAGGGAGGCACTGGAGCTGCTGTTTGCACCCTGTGGATACTCCCTAATGTTCTGCCTATGACAAACACCAGACAACAGGTCCCCCTTTCCAGAAGACATGAGATGCAAGCCCAGTGCTATTTCACCAGTACACGAACAATTCTTTTGAAACAAACTCACATCTTGAACTACACTCAAACTCTAGGAAGTTAGTTATCTTTACAGGCACTGTAAGATACTTCCTAAAGCAGGTGCAAGCAGGACTCCCTGCGCATACACCACAGAGGAAACAGAAATAGGGAAAAATAAAATAGCCTGAGCTGAAAGCCACTTGAGCCCAGAGGCATGCTTACGTTAGCACAGTGCAAGGCCAGAGCGCAGAAGACAGCAAACATCTTGAAGTTGTTCTCGTCTGTCTTGGAGAAGGCGCTACCGCTTATCTTGTTCACCATCTGCACCACGCCAATCACGCTGCCTCGGCTCACTATGGGCATACACAGAATGTTCCGCGTGGTGTAGCCCGTGTATAGGTCCACCTCCCTGTGGAAGTGGAAAGGACAGTGCCGTCACCCGGGGGAAAAGGCAGTGAGTGGAAACAACACATCTGACAATTCTGACATTGCTCTGTAGTTTGTGTGCGCTTTTTACGAATGACTAGAGCGGCACTGGGGATTTGAGACAGTGTAAAAATGAAAATGTTTTATTGAAACATTTCAAATATTCAGGCTTGCTTGATCATGTTTATAATAGTTTCCTAGGGCGGTCTCTCCTGGAGGGTCCTGGCCAGGGTAGGAGATCTGGGGGAAAATCAGGAAGTTTGGTAGACAGTCTCTTCCTTTGCACTTGGTCAGATTTACGAGACTGGTAAGTTGCTAAAGCATTTTAAGTGAGAATATTTACATTAAAATCTAGAGCAGGCATCGGCATCCACAGTTATCGCCCGTGCAGTACACGGCTGCCTTCATCTGTGGATGCTCAGAGAACAGAGTGCTGGGCTCCCGACGCAAAACTCCTGGCCATGGTGTCCTTCAGAACGGAGGGGTTTGCTGACCCCCCGACCTGAGGAGATGGTTTCTGAAAACAAGACTGAGTTCCCCAGAATCAGGCACAGACCCAACATGGGGGCTGTGCTTCAGTCCTCTGGGCCTGGCTTCTCTTGCTTACCCATGCTGTTCAGGAACCATCCAGCCCTTGCTGCTGGGCCGTAGTCTCCACTGAAGGTACGTTTCATTTATCCACGCTCCACTTAATGGTCAGCGTCATTTGTTAATAGCTAGCTGTTTCAAGTAAGGCTGTTGGGGGTATTTGCAGCTGTGTCTTTGCTTGGACAAATGATTTCATTTCCCTTGGAGGTTCTATGGAGGAGGGCAGACCGGTGGATCGCTCATGGTCAAAACTGTACCTCTGTTTTCCCAAGAGGCTGCCTCACTGTCTACTCCCACCAGCAAAGCACGAGGGCCCAGTCACTCCATCATCTTTGCCCTTTCTACCCTGATGCCAATCTGAAGATCTCAGCTGCTTGCCTGGTGCACACTAGAAAGTGACCTGTTTAGTCCCCATGTGTTGTTTAGTGGCCATAAGTGCATCCTTTTTGGTGAAGCGCCCTGCATGCTCTGTCCTTTATGGGGTTGCCTTGTACAGCCGCCTAGATATTGAGACAGTGACATCACATGCTTTGCCAGTCAGTGTCTCCCCTTGATCTGTAGGCTGCTCTTTTGATTTTCCCAATAACCTGACTCATAGGTTTTATATAATGATTTTAAATGATGACAATTAATTTCAATATTTAGTCAGTCTGAGGACAAGCAAGCTTGTTTGAGGGGGGAAAGTAAGGCTATTAGTATTCTCAACTTGTTGGTAAAATATTAATATAATACAGCTATGTTTCTGTATGAGTCTTACATTATCTGATACCCTACCATTAATTATAGAAAACGCTGCCAGATGATTGTACTGTTTTTAAAGTAAGTTGCATGTATCATCTAAACACTGTTATGCTATGCCTGAAGTATTGCTCTAACAGCCTTACCATCTATCGTGTGACGTCTAACTTCAAAGAACTGAATAAAACTTATTCTTTGATTTCGAGTTCTTCAGAGTCTCACATGAATAAAAACAATTTAATACCACACTCTAGCGATATCCCAGCTCACTCAGCTCCTACTTTGTGTGCAGCAAGGTTTCCAGGGCTTTTAGAAAATTATCTGTAGTCCCAAGGAACAAGTAGGTGTTCTCATACCATTTAAAAGAGGAGAAAACTGGGGCTGGAGAGATGGCTCAGCGGTTAAGAGCACTGACTACTCTTTCAGAGGTCCGGAGTTCAAATCCCAGCAACCACATGGTGGCTCACAACCTCCCATAATGAGATTGGATGCCGTATTCTGGTGTGTCTGAAGACAGTGACAGTGTACTCATAAATAAAATAAATAAATAAATCTTTTTAAAAAGTCCTTTATAAAAAAATAAAAGAGAAGAGAAGAAAACTAAGGAGCAGAGAAATCAAATAACATTCTGTCTATAGTGAAATCAAACACCCAGTTCTGTCTATGGTGAATAAATGACACCATGTTGGGTTAAGTTCAAAACCCGACATGACAATCTAAAACCCAATTCCTTATCCCTGTGTGGCAGTGTAAAGGAATGCGGAGACAGAGTGTGGAATGATTTCATCATGATTTCATCATGACTCCACAGCCCCAGAAGCCCACAGCTGTCAGTTGATGCTTCACACCGGGTAGAGCCCCAGGAGGGAAGGCTGGCCCATGAATAGCCTCAGAACATCATTCTGCAAGTGTCTGAGGACTCTGACCACTGATAACAGACTGGGACAGTGTGAACCAAGACTCCTTCAGAGAGACTTCAGTCCAGTGGAACGTCAAAGAAGAAAGGGCAAGGGCTGAGCTCCTGGCTCACCTGTTAAAGCGAGGGTCCGCGTAGGCGTCGGGAATGTTCAGGACTTCCCCCGTTCTTGCCACTTGACCCGCAATCCCTTTCTCGATGGAAAACCTGCAGAAACAAAAAGGGAGGGTCCTGGTGATTACATGGTCCGTTAGAAAGGAATTCTGGCGTTTCATTAACATCAGATCACTGAACTGAGCCTCTATTTTAAGTGTGCATATTAATTTTACATTTATGTATCCTAAATAATCTTATAAAATACATAGAAGTAAAGCAGAAAATTACCCTGCTGTGATCACTCAGAACGTTATCTTAAGGTATAACTCATAATAACTGTGTGCAACAGAAACTGAAAACTTTACTCTTGATGCCTATCTCTCACTGACTGCCAACAGTCTCCCTATACAGTGAGAGACTCCCCTCATCAGTTACAGTGTGCATCTCTTTCGTGTCTTTCCCACACTGTGCTGGGTTCACTCCCTTGAGCACAGACAGCCCAGGGCCAGCTCTGTAGACCTCTTGTCTGTAACCCATGCACTACACACAAACAGTACAAAGGTGTTTTCATGTCTCCAATGTGCTCACTCTAAAAACAATCAGATGACAGATACGAACTGGTTGTACTTGGTAATACTTTTTCGGTAAGGCATCACACTGATATTTTTCATGTTAGTGTGTTATATTCGTAGATGTGTTTATTTCAAAATTTAGTTAATTAAGGAACACATCGACAACTCACGCTAAGATTTTTCAGAAACTCAAAAGGGCACTGACCCAAGACAGAATGAAAACATCCCCAAAGGACCAACCCTGCATGAAGGGCAAAGTCACCAACCTCTTGGTTTCCTCATGCTTTAAGGAACACGAATTAGACACCACGAGTCATGCCAGAGTCTATTCATGACACGAACTTGTCTAACTTGCTCTGAGAGCCTATGAATGGGGACTTTTCTTGAGCTCTTGGTGGCTCTTTCTCTACAGTGAGCCCAAGCCAAAGTGTTGAAGGCCAGCTTCAACTAGCCCTCACAGAGACACACAGCCTGGTTCCCTCCACTCTTGTTCTTATGCTTGTAACAATGAGCTGATGTCTCCAGAGTTAGACCAGCACCAGCGGCGTGAGCCCAAAATTAAGCAAGAAATAACAGTTTAACCAGGTGACTATAACCAGTCCGGCAAATCCAGAATATAACCAAACCAATAAGTGAGCAAAATGTAAGACGCCCCACATGCTCCCACAGTGTCCCCATATCAGCGCTGTGTGACTATGTAACCTGGGAATCCTTCAACCTAGAAACAGCTGAAGTGCCAGGGCCAAGTGGTAGCAGCCTGTGGCTGCTCACTTTGTCCCGTGGTATTGGTTCCCTAACACGACAAAGTAGCCAAATGAAAAATCGTTAATTAGTGTTGCGATGTCTCCTGAGAAAGTTTTATAGTGATGATTGGAAGGTTCAAATGGACAGAAAGCAAGAAGAAGCCAACGTTGAAACTTGTGCATGACTCTCAACTCCTCCACCTGTTAGTGCTCCTTGCAGGTTCCAGGTTGTGTCAAGACTGAGGCACCAGGACTTCACCAACAAGTAAGGGCCATTTGTCCATTTAAATGACAGAAGCTGCCACTTATGGAACAAAGAGGGCTTTCCTTTCTAAGTGCAGCAGAAGGGTAGTTGGTTCAGCCTATGGCCAGGCCCTGAATTCAGGTGTTCAAGTCATCAATTTCCTCGCCTCTGGGCCTTTAGTCCTCATAGGTTGGGAAGGAGCAGGGGCTGAGTCAGTTAAATTCACCCTGCTCCTAGACAGACACAGGAGCCTGCTGGCTGCCACTGGGGCGACCTTTACCTACCTGGGAGCACTAGTAAGTTTTTCCAACATGATTTCCAAAAGGACCGCCTCCGGAAGACGGCGTTTCCAGGAGTGACGCTAACGCTTCCTAGGCGCGGTTTCGCTGGCGCTGCAATGTCATTCCCAGAAGCACTACCTTCAGGAGGCGGGTCCTGGTGGGAGTGATACCACAGTATGACAAGTGTTGTCAGCGCACCTGTGAATCGGCACAGAGAGGTGCGGCAGGACACCTGCACGTCTGCATCGGAGCCAGGAAGGTCGCTCTAGCTGTACCTGATCTCCTTGGTCTTCTTGAAGACGGGCTTCCCCTCCTTCTCCTCCCCAATGTCAAACAGGTCCGAGTACAGTTCCTTGTTCTTGTGGTCCACCTGGAAGAGCGCGCAGCGGTCGGCGTTCACTAGATTTTTTGCATATATCTGAGGCAGATGAGAAACTAGAGTCAGCCATGGGAAACTGAAGTTATGGTGAGCACGGACACACTTTTGACTTCAGCTACTTTGTACTGGGGAGGAAATCAGGACTGCAAACAGGGGTATGTAGATTATGAAGCACAATGAAAGTTAGTTGTCAGTCTGTCAACGTGCTGATCCCAGCACGCGCCAAACAAGGACAGTTTATGAGCACCCGTGTCCCTGCTGATCTTGAAATACTAGAGCACTTCCAGTGAGCTGCTGGTCAGCTAGTGGCCTCCCTCACTGAGACTCTTCATGCTCTCGGAGCTCCTGCCAGGGCCCTATTAGGATGCTCCTGGTACCTTGGTCTGTCTCCCTCAGCTGTGGCTAACATCCACCCAGCCTGCTGTGCACAGTGACTGTAAGGAAGATGGGATTTTCCACACCTTTAGTCTCTGCATTCAGAAGCCAGAAGCAGATGGATCTCTGGTTTCTTGCCCAACCAGGGCTTCACAGTGAGCCACTGACTAAACAATAAATACACAAGACACTGGTTGGCCAGCACAAAGAGATGGCTTCCTAAGATCAAGAGCTGAAAAGTTCCTAGCCTCTTCTTGCCTCTCAGCTTTTTCCACCTCAGCTTCAATGGTGGATGAATGACGTGTGGAGATCAGAGTCCCAGGACACTGGCAGGCAGAGCCCTCCGGGTTAAGAAACCACAGAAAGCTTGGTCCTAAGAGCTGGGGGTGTCATTCAGTTGCAAGACCACTGCCAAGCACACCTAGGCTGAGTCCCAAATAGACACTGCCCTTGTGAGGGAGGCCAGGTTGGCTAGCGTGTTTTACTTATTCCAATTATTTACACTAGCAGTCCGCTTTCCACCTGCAGAGCGGCTTCGAAAACAACCGAGGCGTGTAAGT